CTAAATTTGAAAATTATAATAATATATTATATTTTATAAATAATTAAAAAAAGAATCAAAATTATAAAAAAAAGTTAGTTAGATATAAAATAATAGCAGTCTTATTAATTTTAAAACTAATTCTTACTATTTTAAAATTTAATAAGATTTTAAAAATTAAATATTAGAAAAGATCGGAGTTATTAATATTATAACTATAATATAGAAAATATATAGATAGACTATTAGTAATCTGCTATAATTATAGGAGTTATCTATAATAAAAAAGAAGTTTTAAAAAATTAGTTTTTTTTATTTATAAAATAAGGTCTTTATCCTTAACTGTTATATATATAAAGTATAGTAATAATCCTTTTCTAAAAATATAATTTAAATTTTATAGTTTATATAAATAAAAAATAGATATATAATTTTATTAAATATATTCCGGTTTTAAAGAATTAATTCTTTCAGAGATATTATATTTAATATATAAAATATAAAGATCTAACGCTTTTAACCGAATAGTTCAATTATATTAAAACTATAAAAAAATATAATATTTTTAAATAAAATATTTAAAATTTTAATAAAACTAGTTTTATAATAGAAATAGTAGCTACAGCCCGTATAATTATAAGATCTAACAATATAAATAAATTCTTTTTTATTAGATTAGAAAATTAAAAATAAATAATTTTAATTAAATATATTAATACAGCCGGTATAGTATTATTACTATATTTAATTTTTTAAAAAAAATTTATATTAAAATATAGTATTAAAATCTTATTTTATTTAATTAATATATTAATATATTACTAAATAATTAAACTTTTAATAACATTGGTTTATATTAGTTTTATAATTATTTTATTTCTTTCATAAAGAACCGGCGGACTGGACGATATAGTTTCTTAGTTTTTGAGTAAATATAACTTTTATTTAATTATAGAATTTAATAATATATATAGTTAGAATAATATTATTTCTATCTATATATTTCTATATTCTTTATATTTTTATTAATTATTTAATATTATTTATTTTATACTGTTAAAATAAGTCTATAAAAGTTTAGTAGAACAGCTGATCTGTTAGAGTATTTATTATATTAATAAGATTAATTTTTTAGATATATATTTAAAAATATATTTTCTTATTCTTAAAGAATTAATTATATATAATATTTTTAAGATTTTAAAATTAGTTCTATTCTAATTAAATAAGATTTTTAATAAATTAATTATATAGTTTTATAAATCTACTCTAACCGGCAGTATTACTACTATATTAATAATATTAAAAATATTTAAAAATATAAAATAATTATAAAAATATAAAACTATAATTAAAAATCTTCTTTATAAATATATAATCAGCTTGTTTTTATAAATAAAAGTAGTATTATTTTATATTATAAAAGATTGTAAAATCGCCTTCAATCAGTCTGCTTTATTTAAATAGAAAGTTAATAAATTACAAACTGGATTAGAAAGATAAAATATTAAAAAAAAAGATTTTATTATTAAATAGTCGGTTTGAACAGTCTTACTGTTAAATAAATTAAAAATATATTTAAATAAATTTATAAAATTAATTAAATTAATAGAAGTTAGTTTGTAGAATCAACTACAGGCGAGAAATAATCTTACCGCCGGATATTATTTTATTACAGCGAGTGTAGAATAATTAGATATATAAAAATAAGATGTCTAATATATTTAAATACTAAATAAATATATTATTTTATTAATATATAGACTATATAAGCTTCATCTTTTTATAAAGGCATGTTTGGGTGGGCGCGGAAGCCCACTCGCTTGCCGAGCCCACTCACTTACCGATTATGTTAAGGTACGTATTAGTCATTCCCTTATTCTGCCATCACTTCCCGGCACTACGCCTTTTCCGTCAATCGCTCACTCTGAGTCTGGCCGCAAGTCGTCATTGCTATTTGACTAGTAAGTTAGTCAGTCTACCAATACTCCAGGCTCCATCCAGTCTTATCGATAAACCCCCTTCCGGTCCCGTTCAGGGAAGCCTCGATCCAAACTGGAACTGGAATTTCTGGAGCTGAGGCAGGCGACATCATCCACCTGCATCGACCTTAACTTCGCCAACTTCGCCAGCTATCTGGTACTTTCCTTCTTACCATCACTCACTCCCTCTGCATTTCATTCTCCAACCACTTGCGACTCATCTGGGATGACCAGCTTATCGATGTTCTTCGGTGATCTGGTGCTAGCCTCTCCAGTCTCAGTCTAGATGCGCCACTATCCACTCTACCTTACTTTCCTACATTACAGTGACAGCGTCATAATCTCGCCCCAGAATGGCCCCCACGCTTCGCACCCCTCCTCGTCAGCGCCCTTCCAGACAATCTCGACCTGTCCGATCTAGTCGAACTCAAGTACAGTCCTACCACGAAGACAGCAGTTCCGACGATCGGCTTGATGAGGATACCGAATCAGATCGTGAACGCGCTGAACGATTGTCGCTTTCTCTGCGCCCTCGAGACTCGAACCGTATGCCGGCCTCCTATCGCGAGGAAACCACCGACGATGAGCTTGACAATTTCAGCGACGAAGGCATGGATACCATGACTCGCAATGAAGCACCCGCGCATGCACCTCTCACACTCGCCGAGGGAAGCAATCACGCCAGACCACCTAAGCCTACCCGCACACGAACCGTAAGAACAAGATCACAGACAACGAAGGCAAACCGGCCTCTCAAGAAGAGGCGGATGGAAATTGGGCGCCCGCTTAACAAGCGTCGAAAGCTCGAAGTAGAGGCTGCTCCCTATGTTGGTTCGGGTGTTATACCGCCGTGGCAGACGCTTCCCTACCACATACTCCTCGATATTTTTGTTCGTGCATCATACCCTCTGATTGACGAAAGGACTACCAGCAGAAAGAGCTCCGTGCAGTGGCTTGTCAAAGTCGCTCTCCTATGTCGTTCTTTTCACGAGCCTGCCTTGGCCGCTCTCTACCATTGCCCTCCACTAATACCCGCTGCTAAGTCTCACGGTTTGCTACACTTGCTAGCCAAACCTCAAGATCAGCTTTCCACAAACTATATCAATAAAATCAAACAGCTGCATGTTGATGTGGAAGCCCTTCTGTTCTACAAGAGTGGGTCGACCCTGGGCTATTTCGAGCTGCCCAAGTTGCTGGAGAAGACTCCTCAAGTCAAAACGCTACGCCTCTACCACAGTCATGACTACGTTGTCGGCCTTCCCCCGTGGCTTATTCAGCGCTCAAAATGGACTTACCCGGACAGTCTTTTCGATGCAATCTCGTCAAGCCCTATCCGCCTTCGTAGCTGGGACTGGAACAGCCGTTTTATGGAGACTCAAAAGCTTCTCGAACTGATGTCGCAGATGCACATTCAACCCGCATTTCATCTGATGCAGGACCTGAGAATTCTGCACGTTATGTGTGATGATCCATACAGCAAACAATCGCCCGAGAGCTCCACAGAAAAAGAGATACTTTTGGCTGCGGCCCTTGCTGACCTTCCCAATTTACGGCGCTTAGACTTCATAGAATGCTCGATCGTCAATGATCACCTTTTGCCCAACCTTCCCACAACCCTCACCTCTCTCACAATAAACAACTGTGATGAGATAACAACCACTAACTTTAGTTCATTTCTGTCGACGCATGGCCGCCATCTTCGAGAGTTGAATCTAAGCCACAACCGTCATTTGAGTATGTCTTTCATTGTCAACTTGGCTGTATCATGTGAGCAACTGGAAGTCTTCAAGATGGATATATCCATGCATGATTGGTCTAGTTACCACGACGTTGAGCCTCATTTTCGGGAACTGCTCTCGCCGTCTGAGATTCCGACCTGGCCATCAACACTTCGGGAGATCGAGCTCCTCCAGTTGCGAAATTGGGATGACAGAACAGCAGAGGTCTTCTTCAGCTCGCTTCTCAATGCCGCTCCTAGCTTAGAAAATTTGAGGCGCTTGGTGATAAGCGCAATTCTGAAAATAGGGTGGCGAGATCGAGCAACTTTTCGTGAGAAATGGAAAGGCAAGCTACAAAGAGTTTTCCAGCGACGAAGTCCTCCGCCCAATCCCGACCTTCGCTCAATCCCTCGCACTTCGCTACTACTCAACGCCTCTGACTCTGCAGGAGCCAGGATCAATGAAGGCGCCAGCCATAATTCCGATACTCAACACAGCGGCACTATGACACCGAACAAACGGAAAAGTGCGCGCATTGCTCAAAAAAGGTACTCTGACGATGAAGCTATTGTCACAGGGAAGAGGCGAAGATCTCGTGAAGACGACGATGAACCGCTCTTTACCCAAGGCTTGTGCGATGTCGTCATGATTCGAATAGACAATCAACGCCCGACAGAGACTCAGTTCAACGAAGAAGACTTCCTCGACGACGAATTGAGCGGAGACGAAGATTGGAATGGTAACGACATCGACATTGACGATGGCAGACATGCATGGTAGACGAAAATCATGCTGAGCCTTTCCATATTTCTTACAGATTGCTCCGTGCTGCTTTACTTCAGTTGATTCTTACGGTCGTGCACCGACTCATTTTACGTCTTATCCATTAATTCCAACTGCAACGCTCGCACTAGTCCACGGCGAAGTCATATTTGCATTGCTGCATGAGCTTTTATCTTAGAGGGTATATTATACATGGATGGCGGGTAGGAGTACTTCAGGGCGTCTGGCTTCATTATTTCGGAAATTTTTCGGAACGGCAATCGTCGGAAACTAAGTTTGACCAGATATACTAATTGCGTTCCAATACTTGACTTGTTGCCTTGATCATCTTACTGGTGGTACTCTCTCGAATATCACTGGTATAGATTCAGACTGGAATAATACAACATGGTGCACACGGTATCTCCAACTACCCAGTAAAGAGATGAGCAGCAATGCCAAATTTCTAGCCCAGCTAACCTCTTTGGCTTGGACCCATGCAGGTGCCCCTGTGAATATGATTCTCTCAGGCAAAGTCCCCAGGCAAGCGTTCAATCGCCTACTGGTAAACCAACTTGCCGTTGTCGTTCTCGATGTGCTCGGACAGGTTGACGTCGGCGGGGAAGTACTCGCCCTCCGAGTTGGCAAGCTCGGCGCGCAGCACTGGGACCTCACCACCACCCTCAATGGAGAAGGTCACATCCCGGGCACTGCCGGAGAAGCCGTTTCCACCCCAGTCGAATCGGCCTGGTTAAATAGTCAAAGAAGTCAGAATATCATTCGCCGTATTTTATGGAAGCCTGTCATGGACAGGACATACCCTCGTTGTTTCCCAGGAACTCATCCAAATTTAGTGTGGATTCGTGCTCCTCACCCTCCTCATCTCTGAGGACCGCAACCAAGATATGGTTGTCATCAATGTGGACGTCCGAGGCGCTCAAGTGGAAGCTCATGGTGGCAATGAAGTGAGGGGATTCTTTGATGGAAGGAGGAAGAGGAAGAAACTGTCAGGCAGGATTTTGGATTTGAAGGATGAGTGTGTTGATGGTTGAGGATAATGATAATGTGTAATGGCGGGGAGGGGGGAAGGATACCCTTCTTATACCTTTTTCTTGCTTATGAGGATTGTGAAAGGGGCTGATCTACTTGCCCTCCCCTCCACCCCTCCATCTTCCAAGAGTGTTACTGCAATACTTGGCTTGGTCTCATTAGTTAGCTTCATCGCGCGATTGAGTGGACATCGGGCTAGTCTAGAAGCCCTGTTGGATCTTCCGTGGGGGCCCCCTCCCTCTCGTCTCAGTGTGTGGTGGGTTGTAGGGATGTATGGATGGATGTATGTATGCGCATACACCACATGTATCAGAAGCTGCAATGCAACCATAAGCAAACTGTATTCAATCATCAAGCCACTTACGAAAAAGACAAACAAACAAAACAAGCAGGTGGAAAGCTGCGTGTCTCTTTCTGGCATTGCCCTGTTGTTTTTCTTCTATGCTTTTCTCTGCCTGGAGCTGACCTTCTTCCCATAACAATAGATAGGATCATGTCTGAGAAAGAAATAGAAATGGGTATTCATATGAGTATCGGCCACCTGTCATGAGCACTATTGTTTCACCGTAGAAATTCCTCGCAACAACCACGGCCCCCCCCTCCCTCCTCCTCCCCACTCGCGCACCTAGTCCCTCTTGGCAGCCAAATCAGCAGTAATGGACCCTGAAAGGTATCCCCATCCCTCCTGCCCCCCCCCCCTCCCCCCCGGGCGCCTGCGCGGGCTGAAGCAGAGGGGCAGGTGAGACGTGACGTTATTGCTGCTCTCTGTCTGCCGGTTTTCGGGGGATATCGAGACGGTTGATGGGGAGACATTTGCTGTTTAGGCAGAAGTCTTGGTATGGCGATTGAGAATCATTGTATGGCTAGACCCTGGTCCGGGTTCCTGTCTGACTCCGTCAATAGTGGAGTTACTTGATTCCGGAACAGCCACAGTCCCCACAAGTGATTGCAATGATATTGGTTTGAGAGACTGTGCCAAGAATGACAGTACTGTCTCTAGTACCGAGTACGATGGAGAGTTGTGGTCTGGGAAAAGTGGCGTAAGGCTGCCCCCCGTCAGGTGGCTGAGTTTCCATTCCTCCTGATGAAAGGGTGGTAGTTGATTTGGTTTTGTTTGCTGTCAATAATGGTATCGTTATTTGCTTTCCCTTCCGTCGCCTTGCAGGGCTGACTGCTTGGCATAGGAGAGGTTCAGGGGCCGCTGACGGGTGTCAACGGTTAGAGTGCCAGTCTCACAGGGCGCGTAGTTGGTGGCTGGTGCTCCCATCTGAAGTCAGGTGAGTTGACAAGTAAGGAGATGACCCCCGTAACGTTACAAGCGATGTGAGACCATGACGGCCAAGGTGGAGGGAAAAAGCGGGGAGTTTCCCTCTTTTCCCCTCGCTGGATCTTCTGCTGACAGATTGACACTGACATGGTAAGGCGGTGAATGCCCCCCCGCCGCCGCCCCCCCCCCCGGTCTCTTCTCCCCCTATGTCTTTGGTTGTCTACTCCGTACACATTCTCGTGAACAATGGCCTCACTTTCTAGTGAGCTAGGAGCTTGCTCAATGCGGATTGCGCTTGCACTTCCAAGGGAGACTCGCATTGGGAGCTGTCCCAGTTTTCGACTGTCGGTTCATTGGCGAACATACCTTCCTCTCCCCATGGTCGCATACAGCGGCTGTCTTCCGATGAGCACTGTTTCACCAGGATGTCCATGTCAGATAGTGGCGAATATCCGTCATCGACTGGCCATCAACCATGAACAATAACTCATAATCTAGTCGTGTTACTTACTATTGAAACAGCCCCGAGCACAAGACGTCGCCAGACTTGAAGCGATTCGCTCCACCTCCTGAGATCCTGGCTTATTGCTTGACAGAGACGCTGCGACTTCGTCCAGTGACATGAGTGACATGAAATCATGCCCGTACTTCGCAGAGTCATGAACCTCATACACAATCTGGGCTCCACGCGAATCGGCTGATGTTCTAGGACGCCTCTCCCCGAATTCAGCCATACCCTGGTCTGGAGAAAGCACCCAAAACATCGATACCAACGCTAGAGGTTATTGAAGTATTGATGGAGAGACTCGTTCACGTATACCAAGCGACAGGTGATCGAGGCCTTGCAAGCCGGGTATAGGTTTATAATCCAAGGGCTAGTTGCCCTAGACAGTCGCGCTGGAAAGGCTCAATGCAGGCTTCATAGGGAATGTCAACTGTATAGACTTGCTTCTTGTCCCTATACGACAATCTCAGATTACCCGCACTCACGGAGCTCTTCGTCTAATGTCGTGACAGCTGGTCTTGAACCGCGTAGAAATGAGCACGCCGGCATAGTGACTGGCGAGGGTCAACAGACCTGAACGCACGTACTCAGAGTAGTGTATCGTAGTGCTTACTCCCCCAGCAAGTACTCGACCACGCTAGGGTTGGCTGGACAAAGAGGATTTGTGCTATCAAATCTTACGGTCGGTGATTAGCTAGAGTGCTCTGTTGCCGCAGTCTAATCAAAGCTTACGAAGAACGACCCATCCGATGCATGGCTCTGAATTATATTTTTCTCGCTCACTGCTTTCTTGATCGCTTGCGCCTCTTGTGATCACGGGCCACCGCACTACATTATTTTCGACGCGGTTACTTTCCAGGAACTGGAAGCATGTCCAGCTCCAAGTGGTCAGCTTTTCTGCTCGACCCCTCAGTCTAATCACTGTTATTTATAACTGTGTATTTAAGTAAGGCTGCCCGTCGAGCTCGATCAAGCCAGCATGCTACCTACTACTGACTTCTTGTTGATCGCACCATGGTCACTACATCTGAGCTAGCTCGTCCTTGGGCCGACGGGCCCTGGCCCCTGATCGAGACCCCTTCAAAGACCCGGAATGTTGTAAGTTTCTTTCCCTTCCTTCAGGGCTACATGTCTCGTGCTGATGAGCGCCTACAGTCAGAACATCCTGCCGTCTACATCGCGAACGAAATGGCCTGTGCCCACAACAGCATGCTGAGAGGCTTGAACAGCATCTACCTTCAAGCATCGTCCGTCCAAGAGCCCCAGGATGTCTCAGACTTTCTCTTCTTCATTCACGCGTGGGCCGGCTGGGTATCGCATCATCACGTCCTCGAAGAGGAGAAGATGTTCCCGGGATTTGAAAAAGTCATCGGTGTTCCCAACTTCCTTGAAACCAACGTGGAGCAACATCACTCCTTCCAGCCTCTGTTGAAGAAGCTCTTGGAGTACAGCAGCACGACACAGCCGGCAAAATACCAAGCGTCTGTGGTCCGGCAGTTGATTGAAGAGATGGCACCCAGTTTCCGCCAGCATCTGAGCGATGAAATCTCAAGTTTGCTTTCTATGGAACCGTATGACGGGGACGCATTGCTGAAAGTCTATAAGGAATGCGAGGCCGATGCAGGCAAGCAGGACAAGGTACGTACTTTCCTTTGGCTTCCCGCCCTGGCTCATTCCACCGGATTTCTGACACCCTCAATTGCAGCATGTGGTGCCTCCGATGGTGCTGGGGCTTCGTGACATCACTTTTGAAGGAGGCAATCAGTGGCCTACCATGCCACCGCTGTCGGCATGGATTGTTTACCTCTTCTTTTCTGGCAAGCATGCGGGATCATGGCGTTTTCTGCCGTGTGATACATGGGGGAACCCACGCGCATTGAAGTTTGTGAAGGAGGACGCTTGATGAAAGTGTAGCGACTGAGTACGAAGCGCTAGTAGATAGCTAATGATTTGAAAATGTTTTCCAATGCACAAGTGAAGCATATTCCGTTTTGTGCTGCTCCCCCCGCCGTCTGCGGTCAGCAACGCCGAAATGGTCCATGGATCAACGCAGCCCGATTGCATAGTAGGAATGAGGCAATGTAGCACCTTATAGATCGAGCTGTGGATGATAGGTATGATGCATCAGATCCCACGATTGGAATATGATCGGCCTGACTACCGGCGGAGAACTCAGGATTTGTTTTCCGCGCCGAATCAAAATGCAGCTCTGGCCGGCGAGCTAAAAAAAAAAAAAAAGTAAGCCGGGCAAAAGTACCGTGGAATTCAACTGTGCCTACTACATGTACGGAATACTGCTTCGGAGAACCCATACCGGTCAAGGAAAAGAACAAAAGACACCCCACACGAACAAACGCCTTGCATCCACGCCTACCCAATGATCTTCACTCCAGACCACTAGCTCTCAAGAGCATTGTCCGCTAGGAGCAAGTCGAGTCCATTCGTATCTGGTTCAACGCTTGTTTCCTGTTCAAATGATGGTGGGTACCCCACATGTCGTGCCGGGGACGCGCGGGATATCCACTTCTTGTTTATGGAATGGGGCCAATCGCATGTGCCTCATCGAGGCGGATGTTTTTTTGTGGTATTTAGCGGCTAGAGGTATCAAGGTGCATTATCCCTACCGCCAATCCATTAAGGGATGGGGGGTTTTTCTAACTTAAAATCACGGACCAAGCGCCACAGGGGAGGCGCCGACCCCGAGTTCACCAGGTGAGCAGTGCTCGTCTCATTCAGAGCGTAGAATCTGGACTTGTCTATCGGTACATCGATCCTTCCTGCACCAACCACCATCACTACCACCACGACTTTCAAGCTTCACCATGGCATGGCCTCTCTCCATGCACGAGATACATCCCGCCGCAGATTTGGTACAGGCTAGCACGCTTCCGTTTACCGTTCCAAGTGCCATTCCCCAAACTGCCTTCCCAGCAGAAAGTCATGACGACGACGGTATCTTGGATTCAGTGAGTGCTCGAGAGTGCTGGCACTTACAAGCCTAGTCGTCAGCCATTCGCTTATCCCAGCTCGTAACAGGGGCTTGATGACGACTTTTCAGACTATGCGGAGGAGCTGTAAGTAGCTGTCTACTTGGATATGATGAGAGCTCACGACTGATGAGCGCAAAATTCCATAGCGCGAGCGATACCACGTCATTGCATTCCGAAATAACATCGTATCGCTATGAGAATGGACGACGATACCATGCCTACAAGGACGGAGCTTATTGGTGAGCACAACAGCCAATGTCATCCCAATCACTAATTGTATGAACCTAACCTCATCTTGCCAGGGCCCCGAATGATGATAAACAGAATACACAGCTAGATATCGCGTGAGTAGTGGAGTCGTAAAATCGCTAACCTGAGTTGACACCGTGCAACAGCCACCACATGTTTACATTATTGCTAGATGGCAGGTTACATTTAGCGCCCACCGGGAATAGCATTCAGGTATGTTAGCTAGTTTCAAAGACATTCATCCTTATCAGACGACCCGTATTGTGCTTACAATGTACCCAGAGAGCACTTGACATTGGCACCGGTACTGGTATTTGGGCCATGTACGTGTCGAGGCAGCCTGGGTGAGACGCAGCATTCTGACCAGTACTATGATTAGTGATTTCGCGGATGAACATCCCTCTGCCGAAGTCATCGGTACGGATCTGTCGCCCATTCAGCCGAGCTTCATCCCCCCTAACTTGCAATTCGTGATTGATGATGCGTCAGAGGATTGGATCTATCCTGCGGACTACTTCGATCTGATTCACACCCGTACTTTGTACGGAGCAATTGCGGACTGGCCACAATTCTACCGCAAAGCCCTTAGGTAAGCCTTTACGTTCTGTTATACTTTCTGCCACCATATCTGAGAGAACTTGTTTAATATTGTCTCAGACATCTGCGTCCTGGAGGATGGTTCGATCAACTCGAGATGTCCATACAATTCCGATCAGACGACGAGACATTAACGGAGGACCATGTGTTGTCGATCTGGTCGAAGACGTTCATCGAGGCCGGTGAGAACCTAGGGAAGACTTTCCGCATTGCTGAGCTAGCGGCTGGCTATATGCGAGATGCAGGCTTTCAGAATGTTGTTGAGCACCGGTACAAGTTGCCGGTGGGTCCGTGGAGCAGAGACAAAAAGCTGAAGAGTCTCGGGATGTGGAATCTGCTTCATTGCGAGCATGGCATTGAGGGCTGGGCTATGGCGTTGCTTACGCGGGTAATGAAGGTACGTGACGAAATCTCGATACACATCGATGTCTATCTTAGCTCGAGTCATCGAGATGAAGCTGGCGCTAGCTGCGTGCTGGAAAGCATATGGGACGATAGGCGCTGACGGCATCCCCACATATCTCAGTGGACCTTCGCAGAAGTACAGGTTTTCTTGGCTCAAATGCGCAAAGGCCTGCGGGATCCAAATGTTCATGCTTACTTTGAAGTGTAAGTCATGCGCGTTCCTGTGCGGTGGGCTAATGCTGAATTATCGCCCCGGCGTATTTTAGCGTCGTAGTTTATGGTCAGAAGCCTATACACATTGTTTAGCTCAGAGGTTCAATGCATGTGCAATGCACCGTGAACTCCAAGGTGGTAATACCCAGACATGGATCGACTTGGAAGCGTTTTAATTGGGTCTGATATCTGTACAGCTGCTGGTTTCAGGAACCGGGAAAGTACTGGGGACATCAGGGCACTGTCGAACTTTTGGTTCCCGAAAGACGAACCGCATACTATACAATAAGTACACAATTAGAGAAGCGTCCTTCATCGACGAAACTTTCTAAATAGAATAGTTACTCCAAAACAACAGAGGGTAGGAGGTTAGTAGTTGATTGGCTTCGACAGTCATCTGATTCGTCTTGCCTGTGCAGTGCATGCATCATTTGGTAGAGAAAGATCGCAAAAGAAGTAGAGGGAGAATAGCTATTGCTATGCCTAACAGTAAGCAGCAGTGGTCTCTCTTCCCACATATTTACTTCATAACCAGGTGTAGTCATGGTCGGCCAGCAAATCGTTCTCACGGCATGAAATTCACTAATTGAGTTTCTGTAGAGTATTACTATAAATGCACTGGTTGCTAGGCAGTAACACCTACTCGTACTCGGCCTATGAGTGAATAACACCCGGACCTAGAATGTTTTACACTTTGCTACCAGTTTTTATTTTTCTCTATCAACTCTTGTGTAAGTATCTCTTCGTCTGCTTATCTCCTCTAAATAATCCCTCTCGACCTTTTACCCCAACCACACATATCCAATCTTCAACTTATCTAGAACAATCACCTCACATCAAATTACTCTAAGCCACACCATATTCTATCAAACCATTACCCAAACTCCATCGCAAATATGCCCATGACATGGAACGAGGCGGCAGATGCTAAGGTACGTGCCTGCCTTCTCTCTCTCCCCCCCTCTCTCTCTTTTGGTTTTTCCTACTCGTAGCCACACAGTTAACCGATCAACATCAAAGCTACTCATAGCCATCTTGCAGACCATTAACACCAAGCTCGATTATCCCCGTATCGCTCAGCTCATGGGTTCCGGTATGTCCTCTCTACTCTCCCAAACCTCAGAACCCTACAGAGGAAGAAAACTCCAAGCAAAACTAAACCTTGTGACCCTGAAACTAGACTGTACTGTCTACGCCATCCAGCACCGCCTCCGAAGCCTGAGGGAGCGCGCCAGGCCCAGACCCACCGCTGACGGCCCTCTCGCCCTTCCCTCGACTCCGACCAGAGATTCCACCGGTGCTGTTGATCCTGCCTCTGCTCAGGGCACCCCCGCTTCTGGACCGAAGAAGCGAGGAAGACCGCCCAAGGTGAAGGTGGAAGTTGATCGTAGCGCTGAGGAGGCGCCGGTGACTCCGAAGAAGAGAGGCCGCGCTAAGAAGGTTAAGACTGAAGAGATGGAAGAAGAGGCTCCGCATGCAAAGATCGACACGAATAATGGATCTCAGCCCGTGTATCAGAGTATTGAGGATGCTTACATGCAGGAGGCGATCTGATTCGCTTTCCTAGATCTCGGGTCTGGTTTTTCGTGATGTACTTGGTCTGGCTCTTGAGCTGCAACTTATATTGTGGGAATGGTCAAGCTGTGTTGTGCTTTGAGATGTCGAAGGTATGAGATGGAATTTATTGCAGTTCTAGGTTGGGGGTCTAGTTCTACGTGGGATAGGCACTGGTGGAATCCTGATGATCGAGCTGTAATTGCGGTTCTTGTAGCTCATTCTTGTGAAAGTGGCATCATTGCTAGAACAAGCAGTACTTAGTCCCATTGCGTATAAACTCTCGATAAAACGCCCTCTTAAAGTACATACATACAAATGATTGTGAACAGTTTGATCTCAACTCGAGATGGAGGGGGAAAAATAAACCAAAACGCAACCTGCCGCCCCCAGCCACCATCTAGATAAATTTCCGCCATCTAGATATAGTTCATCATCGCACCGCGAGGCGCAGCAACCATCTCATTCTCCGGGTAGTACTCCGAGGCCGAGCTCTCAACATCCACCTCCTGCTCGTCTCTGCCAAAGTGGTGGTGCGTCGTCCAGTTGACCATCCCCGGCACCGGAGCAGCCGGCTTACGCACTCTCTTGGACGGGGTATCCGGCTCGACGTGGGCAGCAGCCGCGGCTCCATGCATCTGATACAGGGTATGCCCCGCAAGCAGCTGGTTCGCCGCACCCATTCCAGAATGAGCGAGAGGGGTCTTCTTCGTTGGGGTGGTGTCCATCATATGAGTGTCGATGCCAAAGGGGCTATTCTGAGCCTCCATCTTGATAGGAGAGGGCCCGGTTCCCACCTCACTCTTGATGAGGGAATCGGATGGCATGGACTCGGCCTTGATAGCAGTTTGTCGCTTCCGCTTGGTGGAGCTGGGCGTAGCGGGTGCGCTGTTCTTGCGGGGCTTGCGAGGGGTGGCGGTCGGGGTGATGGGTTTGTTGTCGTCCTGATTATTTCCTTTGCTGGTGCTGCTTGCGGTTGTGCCTGCCATATTACGAATTCTGACGAGCCTCTCGCTGATGGCTCGAGGTGTAGGGGGGAGCTCTCCTTCGGCAACGGCTGGGTATGAGGGGGAAAAGTTCATGGTTAACAGAGTAGGTTTTCAGGGAGACTGAGGACGATTAAAGACTAGCTGGGGGGGGGAGGACTTACGCCATGCTTCCGCTACCTTCCTGTAGTTCACGGACAGGTTGTGCGTCTCGACGATCTTCAGCAGAAGCTGTGTCGATGTTAGCTGCTTGGGGGGAGTAGGAATTGGAAATGGAGAGAGACAAAGAATAAAGAGGACATACAAGTTGATCAGCTTCGGGAGTCCAGCGCATTTTTGCTTATGTAGGCGAGGGATTATGGAAAGAGGACTGTAGTAAGTACTATCTGATGAGGTATAAGTTTCACTAATTAAAGACTTCAGGTAACTCGATGATAGATTTGAATCTGGAAGAGTAAGAGACAAGGCAGAGAAGAAGAGATTTGAGGAGTTGTTAAGTTGAACAGAAAAAGATAATGAGTATCTAGTAAGAATTTTAGGACCAGAAGAAGATCTCTAGTCTATGAACTTTAGAGATATCTACCTCTAGGTGCAAGTGAATGATCCCAGCCTCGCAGGTAACAGTGACCAGAACCTGTCTTAGTGGGTAAGCAGCTCAGGTAACACTCACAACTCTCAGCCTGCCCTCGACAACTTCCCACCCCCCACTGTTTGCATCACGATCTGCAGTGTTCTCTCACTCTTGATTACCTCGATAATTTAACAGGATTCGAGGACGTGTTACTGCTTGGATTTGTTCTGGTGCTGCATGAATCCACTTGCCTGCAGCCGCTGTTTGAACCTTTCCTCCGACCGGGATCCTGCATCTTGACTGATCACTTTGTATACATCCGATTTGTGACAAAGGTACAGCACGCTACGTCATTGCTCCCGTTCCAGACCCTGTGTGCTTATCATTCTCCTTTCTCAGCCAGCTCCATTCTACACGTCGAATTGTGAAAGTCTTACGCTGCGACACAGCATCGTACAACCCCTGCCTCGTCCGCCTGTCCCCGACGAACAGAAAGCGCCAGTGGACAAGGATCTCTATCTATCTCATCCCCTCAATCACAGTACAATTTCCAGGGACTTTTGACAGCCCCGTATCGGTTGCTGGAGGAATCTGTTAGCGCCCTTGTGATCTGACTGGAGGGTATCTGGATTCTTGGTCCTGCACTGTGAATAAATACAGGATTGAGGTTCTCTCATTTCGGTGGTCAGAGACTTCATCTGCTGTTGCACATTCTTTCCTCTGTTCTTTGGTCTTGTTTTATCTGGCAACCCAGTGCGTTTGCATCCCAAGCTTCCTTGGACTCGACACACAAGCATTCTCTGTTAGAGCTCTTCATTTCCTTGTGACAAGATGGTCAACTGGAAAGCTCCGGAGTCTACTGATCGGCTCCTCGCATCGTTGATTGTGGCCCACCCTGGCCTGAAGGTACAGTGCCCCGCCTCCACAATCAGCAACCCCAAGGGCTCGATTTAACTGATTCAACTACAGCTGGATTATAAGGCCATGGCAACAGCTTTCGGTCAGGGCGCAAGCTACGACTCCATTGAAGGCCGCTTCCGGAAATGGCGTAAAATGGCCGACGAGCTTCGCGGCGAGCTGGATTCGCGAGGCATCAATTTCACCGAGCTGCGGGCTCGCAACAGCTCGTCTGGCATCTTGACCCCGCGAACCCCTCGAGGACCCCGCAACGGCGTGACCAAAGCCAGCCAGTCCGTTTCATCATCGTCCCGCGCTCGCAGAGACGGCCGTACCATCTCGCAGAAGACGCCGACCCGGCCCGCGAAGGGCGGTAGCAGTACCCGTACCCCTACCAGCCATGGCGGCTCGCTCGTGCAGACGATCTTTGTAGAAGATAGCACCGAGGAAGAGGACAGGAAGGATCTGACGTTCAAGCGCGAGAGTAGCGAAGCAGTGCCCTACGGGCTCATCACCCCAGTCAAGGAGCCCAACGACCTCATGATCGTGGACTCTCCTGCCACCGGTGGTCCGGGTGTCTCTGCCCTCACTTCCACTAGACATGGTAACACCCGGTCGGACAAGAGCGCTCAGAAGACCCTTGTGCCTGACCTGCCGGCCATCTCTGGCTTCGAGCACGGCGGCCATGCGTCGTCGTCCAGTGTCGATCCGCATCACACCTCCGGTGTCCATCCCATGGATGACATCCAGCAGCGGCTACACGGGCATGTTTTTGCCTTCGATCATCTGTTGGACTCGGTCCCGTCTGGGTCGTATCTTGGTGGTGATGTCGTCTAGGATCTTACGTTCTCGTGTTCTTACGCTTCCGATGTTCCAACCTTTAGGAGGGATCGTCTCTCACCCTGTTTATCCCCTACACGTTTTGTATTTCTATTCTGGAAATGTTGTTCAAACTATCAACCACCCCGTACAGTAATCAGCAAGGTGGCGTGAAAAAGACTTTTGTGTGTGGCTGAGCCGGCGTCAGTCAACACAGCTGACAATGGGGGGGGGAAGTTGATAGATCATATGGCGGCTTGTCTCCATGCATCGGTGCATTAGTCTAGAACAAGACATGCTTGCCGCGGCGGCTGACTGACTCTTCAGGGTTCATCCAGTTCATGTGTGTAAAGAATTGTATCCTATGCTCATGCATGGTTCGGAATGCCAATCCTGTGAGTTTTGATGTAGAAGATATGCAAGTATAGTCTTTGTATCTAGCATTAACTTACATGAGTCGAGCAAGCAAGCAAGCAAACCCTAGCCCCGAGCCCTGAGCCCTACCCGCCCCAATCTGGAGTATGATCATCGAATCGACCTGAGGTTTTTCAATCGAAACCTAAGAGTAGTAGGAAGGAATATTGACATAGTAAAAATAAGATTCTTAGTAGAGATGTGATTGGTTGCTATATTTCTGATTCTGAATTCATATTTTTGTGCTGCCAATCCAGTTCAGAGTGACTGGGTACCTACATCACAAGGTATTATTGACCATGCTTCCATGGCCGACTGTATTCCAGCATCAGGAAAGACACGTGAATTGCAATAACTTGCAACATCCTCATGCGTCGAAGACCACGATCCAGCAGAATTTCATTTCGATCAATAATAAGAATACCAGCCTGGCCATATTTACCCACCTACCAAAGTTACGCCCCCCCCCCCCGAAACGTCGTCCCCTTGTCTTATCCCTGCCCCCTGCCATAACACACCCTTCACAACCTCCCCCCCGCCCGCACGGGCTTCAGATCCGTGACGAGAACCACATGTTGACTCAACGCAAGGAGCGCACCGGACTCATCATAGATCTGCAGGCTCACATCGTAGCGACCGCGCGCGATCTGATACGAGGTGGAGCGGGTCAGAACCCATTCCGTGGCCGGATCGGGCCGTCTCTTGAACTCGATCGACAGACACAGGGTGGTGATGGCGTGCTTGGCGTAGAAGTCGGGGGTATGGGTTGCTGCGGGATGGAGGGGCTATATTTTGGGGGGTTTTGGAATTGTTCATATTAGGTTTTTGTAAAAATGTATACGTAGGGGGGGGGGGGGAGGCGGCGGGCGCGCTTTGGGGGTTTCTGTGATGACAATATCTGGGAAAGAGTTGGGGTTGGAAAAGGACGAGGGGGGGGCGGGAGGAAACTAGACTGACCAGGTCCGAGAGGTATGCTAGATGTAGAATGTCGGAGAATTTGGTCCCATCGCGGAAGGAGAGCCATACTTCGCGGTTGTGTCCCCCGAGACGATGGCCCCAGAGTCCGTTGGCGGAGCGGGGTGCAACCCAATGCATCTTGCGGGTTACCGGAGTGGCGTCGACAACGGGGTTGTCGATGGTGGTGCATTCTGTTTGTCGGTTGGGTAATGGTGGTCTGATTGCTGCTGCTGCTACTTTTGTTGATGCGGGATGGGGCTCTTGGGTGAGGCCTTGCTCTTTGGAGATATCGGCATAAGTGAAAACGCCGAGGGTAGTGGTTATAAGTGATGGTGATCCTGTTGTATTCGGGGTTTCTCTCTGGTCCTTTAAAGCAGCAGCAGCAGCAGCACGTTTCAACTCAACCGTGACGACGCATCGTCGAGATGAGGTTCGTGAGATGGTACAGGTAATGGTGCACTCGCCCGGGTGGACTTCCCGGAGGAACTGTAGAAAGGTATGCACGGGGTCGGGATAAAGGCCATCGCCCAGCTCCTGTGCGAGGAATTTCCGACCAGCGGACAACATGACCGCCGCGGAGAATCCTCCCAAAACAGAACTGTCTCGGGTCAACTCAACTCAGTGGGGAAGGTTGAGGCGCTCGCAAACGCGCGCGCGCAGCAGCAGCAGTCGGACAGACATACTGTTGAGTGCACCAATCTCGGGTGATTGTGACGGTGAACTGACCTCGCGTCCCTGGTACAGGCGCTACGGATGACACTACCTCCAACAAACTAGGTTTGAATTGCGGTGGCATGTTGGTGTTCAACGAGAGCTGGTTTGATCGCCGGTGTCAATGGTATTAAGTACGAAGTTGTTGCTACTGGGGAAGATTTTGCGGCTGCAGAGACAGGAGGGCGTGCGGACTCGTTCGTGTATTCAGGAAAGAGCAACCGATCGCCTGGGCTGTCTGGAGCCGAACTATGGATTAACCGTGGTTCATATAGGAACCCCGACGAGTCTGGGGTATTGGAGAAGAGGGGGCAGCTCATTGTGTCTTCGACTCTGCATGGATTTGTACCACCCTGTCAAAAGCCTACAACCTTTAGGAGGGGATTCGTCGGCTTCGTGAAAGACGGAGGACCAGCCATGGGCGACTAGCATGGATGGAATTTGGAATGACGACACTTAGACTGAAGTGAAAAGAACCAGTGCCAGACCAGGCATTGACACCTTCTTGAATGCTCCCGGAATTCCGCCGTGCGGGCTGACAGCAAGAGCAAGCGCAGTCATTGCCCAACGACGATCCATGGAATGCAGATCGGGAGTCGATTCAGGTTCTGGGCTGCAAAGACTAAATGCGGGAGATCATCTCAGAGAAGAGATTTTTTTGGATTAGCGAGCCGAGGTTCGTGGATAAAGAAGGACTTCGATGCGAGGCAACAATCCAGCGATAAGCCGAGACAACAATGGGATTTCCCAAACAGGTTATATGATGTGTGATGTGTGCACTGTATGTGCAGAGTACAGTACTACTGTAGTCGGAGTAGGACGGCTCTTTGTGCATGAAGCTTTCTGAAGGTGGGGAGGGGGCGTCGGAACACAACCGGTCAGGCCGTTAGGTCCATCATTATACCACTCGATAATAAGAAAAGATGCGACGCTGCCTTCTGATTGAGTGCTTGTCCGGTTCCCTTAAGTCCGGACAATAAGTAAGTTAATTAAGAGATCGGTTGATTTCGACCCAACTTGACCCTCGAAGTCATCAAAAAACCATCAAATTCAACCTGCCGACCGCCGATCACGTGGGCTGACGCGGACGCGGCGCGGTTTTCGCCGCTCGGCTTTTGCTACTTTTTGCCTCTGCCTCTGCCTCTGCCTCCGTCCTTAGGTTTGCTTTTGCTTTCAGGCATTAATTATTATTATTATTTATTCCATTTATTCGGTTTCCATTTCATGTAATTTCGTTTGGGGAAAGCGGCGGCGGCCAAACTGGAAATCTCCTGATCCTTCCCTCTAGTTTTTCCTTTTCCCTTTCCCTTTCTCATCCTCCATCCTTTCTCCCTCCCTCCTCTTCTCCTTTTCTTCCCTTCCCCTCCCATCAGGGGCCATTCTGCCCTCCCCTCACTTCTCCAAGGATATTGTGTGCGTGTGTATGTGCTTGGTGCGGTGTGTGTCTTTTTGAGAAGAGATCAATCTTACCAAATCAATCTCTCCGAAATGGAGTATTCCGGAACTACGGTCCTGAACCCCGTGCGGCCCGATCACTCCTTATGGGGAAGAAGCACACCGCAATCTCAGATTATCATCAACCCCTCGCAGTCCTCGGCCGCCATCAAGCCCGACCCCATCACTCTCCCTATCACCACCACCACCACCACCATCACCGCTACCGCCACCGCTACTGCCCTGATCATGAATAAAGATTCGCCCTCGCAGTCCCTCTCTCAATCCACTCAATCCACCTCGGTCGACAAACCCATTCTGCCCATGGAACCCACCCACCCCGGTCGCGGCAAACAACTCACCATTCCCGAGCAAGTATGTCTTGTCAAACTATGTGCCGCCTCCATGGATGATTACGATGCCCACGCCTACCCAAAGAGTTTCTGGATCAAGATCGCCAACACCCTCGAGATGCGGACCGGCCGTCGCTACTCCTGGCAATCCTGTCGTCGTCGCATCTACACCTACGTCGCCAAACGCTCCGCTTATTACGATTCCTTCCGACAAGGTCGCCCCCATCCGACTATCGACATTCCCAAGGAAGTCCTCGGCCTGTTGAACCATTGGATCAGCGACATTGACCGGGCCAAGTACACTGAGAACCGCCTGGCCGAGGAAGTGCGGACCAAGCCCAAGCCCGTTGCTCCGGTCGCTGCACCCGTGCACAAGGAGACTACCACGGCCCAGCCCGCGGCGCGGATTACCCTCCCCGAACACGATATGGTGGTCACCATGAACCGGGTATATACCTGGCTCCGGAATCTCCCACCCCCGGAGGAGATGGAACAGATGGCGATGTGGGGCGAAGAACCGAAGATCGCCGCCGCTCCAGTGCGAACACGGAGTGATGTATTCGCTGCCTTCGCTCGCCCAATAAGCCGAGATACCACCCCGCAGCAAACGCACCGGTCGCTCTTGGGAGTCGGGGACCGCCTCGGTCAAACAACTGCCCAGCGTTTGGCGGAGGAAAGAACCAGCTCCCCCTCGCAGGCCATGGCTCCGCGGTCATCGTCTATGGCTCTCCATCAGTCCTCTCTGGGTCACAATCCTCTCAAGAGACATCGGGATGCTGATGATGAGGGCGCCTGCGACCGTCCCGCTCAACGTCTTCGCGCGTACCCCGATGGCAATGCGGCTGCCTTGAACACGGCCATTGGTGGATCCGTGGACAAGTCGTTACTGGTGTTCCGCCACAAGATGAAGATGATCGAAGAATGTATTGAGTTCACCTTCGGCAAGATTATCGACCGAATCTCCCCGGGTATGGGACGACAGGAGACCAAGCCGCCGGGGTTTCCGGGAGCGTGCGAGTCGATCATTAATGATCTTTTCAAGGACGTGGGCATGTCTGTTGCCCGGGCCTTGTTGCGCATCGACAAGGCATCTGCTGCAGAACGTGCAGCCACGAACACGAACTAAAATCGATCGACATATCGATACACACATACGACATTCGTACATATATACCTTCATGATGATTGAGTGATATGAGGTTTCTTTACGTCTATACCTGACTTTGACTTAGCTTGATTCACCGTTTCAGCACGCTACTTTTTTTCTCATTTCCTAATTTGCATTTCAAATGGGTGGCTCTCTGTCTTTGACGTTGTCGGTTTACCCTCTTTGCATTGTTCCTCGCATTTACCTTTCATCTGTTCTCATGAGCATCAAATTGCCTAGAGATACCCATTTCCTTGCAGCTTGAGCATTGGCTTTGCGTCGTTTACGATTATCCTTGATGTTTTCGTTATGGTTCAAAATCTGGGCATCGTTTGTTTTGGATTTCAGTTGCATATATAGCATAGCATGCATACCTACCCCATAGACTGATCAGAATGAGGTAATTATCGGACTTGGACTTAATTTCACCGATCCGACTTGCTAGTAATGTTCCCATGAGTGGTGGCATGATTTTGCAAGGTTCTGTAGTTCGAGTAGCAATGTTGGCATTAAGGAGGTTCTCATCGGGGTATCGGGGTTTTCTCGATCTTTGGTCCAAGTTCGAAGAATATCCCGGTTTAGTGTGCCCTGGCCTCCGCCCTCACTGAACATCTCTTTTACGTCCTCGAGGTTCTTGCTGCATGTCTCAGGGTATCTGGAGCTAGATTTCAGTTTCTCCTGCGAGATGGATGAGAACAAACAGAAAAGCCAACGAGACTTACGTTGGAAAAAAGAAAAGAAAAAAAAAAAGCTGCTCAGCTGCTCTGACACGCGGGGCCTTCTAACACGATGAAGAGCCTTTATCTCGATCAGCCCCGCGCGAAATTGAAGAGCCAGTGATTGTCATTGATGTTGACCATACAAACTTCACGGCTAGACAACCAATCTGACACAAAGCCCATCATACTGGGTCTGAACAAGTACCAAGCCATAGCTGGGCAGTGATTCTACTTTGCGAAAGCTAGAAAGACAATACCAAGATCAACCGGGCGACACAGTAGCAACCTCAGGCGGACATGCTAGCGTGGCATCATAACTTCGGAGACGTGTGGTTAAGGTTGGGTTTGCGTTTTGCTTCCCCGCCTTGCGCTTGACCCAAAAGGAGGGGATAGGGTAAATCGTGAGGTAGTCGATTATGAGCCCAGGTGCGTTCTCACCGCACGTCTGGTAGTGAGTATTTATATGGAAGCACTGCGCTGCAGCATATTCAAAGTGTTACTCACTGCAACCTCTCCCTAATGTCTGATACCCTGTGAATAGCTGTCTCGAGCTTTCGTGGTACCTTGGCCTGAATGGGACCATGTGGACGGAATGTGCCAGTAGAAGCTCTTGGTCGCAAGAGGCATCGATGCGATGAATACACCAAAATGCATGAATTGCTCAGAGTGCTTTCCTCCCTGATTAATTGAAAGTGTTGAGAATAAATAAGGGAGGTTGTGTTGTTTGTGCTGAAGACCCGAGAGATCTCATGAGATCAAACGAAGGAGACGCCCGCGAGGTCGTAAACACACTGGCAAAGGCAATCAATGGCAAAGAGTGATCCATTGATCGATGATTTCCTCCATGTCGTGAGCGATGCCCCACTGAGAAAACAAGCAGCGGAACAACTTCTGTAACGAGTTCATCTCATACAGCAAATTGCGCACCGCCCCCATTCCTGGAGGAGAGTCGGTTCGACCCTCCTCCACAAAACGGCGAGTCTCTGACCCAGTCGAGGGGCGGAGGGTGTCACATCCAAGGTTCAGATCAGCCCTCGAGAGCAAAGCGTCTTGCCAGACAATAGTACGAGGAAGGTGGATATTGGTCACCCCGGCGAGCGAGAAAACAACGTAAATCGTCGTTGCAGAGAACAGGGAGCTGGGCATGTGAATAACATGAGCACGCCCCCTTGGCAACTGCTCGACAATATCCTGGATCGCAATCGCGTGCAGCAATGCGCGACGAGCATCTTCAGTGTTGACCCATTTGACCATATCGAACCCCGGTCTCATTGTCCGAGAGCCGCCGGAGACATGCTGTGTGATATCGTAGCGAGAGCAAACATGTCTGCAAAGAATGGTGGAGTTGATCATCGTGTCCAGGCAGATTGTGTGCCAGCGGAGGAGGACCTCGAGTCTTTCCGGGGCCGAAAGGTGGATGCTCATGGTGATGGTCTCATGCACCTGAGCTAGCGCCCTACGCACGTCAGAGCGGCCAGGAACACCGACAGCCGCCAGATCGCTTTCGTCGGAATCTGAGACCAAAGACTGCAACCCTTCTAGAACGACCCGTAGGGCGAAGGCTGAGAACTGATAATCTAGTGGGCGGAAACTGCCGATAGGAGGGAAAAGGGAGCGGAAGACCAGTCGGAATGAAGGCTGCTCCGATCTTTGAGTCCGCATGGTAGAAATCCACTCATCCACACTACTGGCATCGAAAGCAGCTTCACTGCTGGGCAGAATGAGTGGATTGGCAACGTGCCGTGTGGATGCGCCATCTCCAGACATCTGCGCAACCAGTCCGTCTAGAATGTGGTAGGCAAGTAATGCACGTTGTTGAATCTCCCTGGCTGCCCATGTCCGCCACCTATTTTCCTTCTCACTATTCGGTGCGCTGGGGAATGGCACGCTCTCCATTGAAAAAGGCTCGCAGTCTAGCATACCGCAATGCCTTGCCCAGAAGAAACCGAGCGGGCGAAAGACCTGGCTTGTGGTACGGATCACTCGATTCTAGTAACAACCGGTCAATCATAGATCACTTTGAATAAAAGCCAGTTGGGCCACATACCTTAGACAGAGCACCATATATTTGTCCCAAAAGAGCGGTAAGTAGGAGCTGAACTCCTTTGCAAGCATCATATGGACCACTATGTGTGATCAAGGACTGCCACTACAGCTTTGTGAGCAAGATCTCCTTCGTCATGCAAAAGCACGGCTTACAGAAGTAGCAATAGCCGTATGGGCCAGGCGCCATAGCGCCTCTCCCTTTGCTACGGAATCCTTGGGGCCTAAGTACAGGGACCCAAGTGCCATAGCGTTGAGTAGCAAGGGATGTGTGCATTCCCGGAAGACAAATGTTGCTCGGTGCAGAATGGGAAAAGTGGGTATGAATCGCACAAAGAACATGTGAAGGCACTCGTCCAGGAAGACCGATGTTATTGAAGTCGCTTTGATGGCGGCTGTCACGCTCGATGACTATCAGTCATGGTTTAATTGATCAGCTTCGAGTAAAAATGAATGGGATCGGATATCCTCACCGAGCTTGTAACCATTTCTGTAACATCTCGCACAGCCTGGTGGCTACCACCTGATGGGATAGCGCCTATAGATGAACCTCTGTCGTCGAAGGAGTTTGGCGAACCAAAGTTCATCCCATTTACATCCTGCACAACAGGTGGAAAGGGCAGAGCACCAAGTGGCATCTGCCACTGATCAGTCGTATCACAAGCCATGATGCTTTGAAACAGATTCTCGGAATCAGGCCATATTAATGTGAAGTCGAGATCGGAGGCTGCATGCTGTAGGCCGGGCTGTGACTCCGCTTGTGTTGTCTCCCAGGCATTATTGGGTGTCGACGACGACACCACCCCGGGTGCAGTAGTTCGGTGGGTGTCCCAGGCTAGAGCATCCAGAGGCGACGCCTGCGGTGGCACATGCACGGCGGACTGTTGTACTTGAGCCTGCTTGGCATTTGTAGCACGGACGTGAAGCTTTTCATGCCGAGTAAGAGCGTCCTGGCGTGCAAAAGGACGTCGGCATTCTTTGCAGACAAAAGGCTTCGATCCCGTATCTTGTGAACTCTGACGTTAGCACACACTCGAGAAGACAAGGCTGCACGTGTGATGAACAAGCGAACATATTGCAGGCCAAGAGTTCATAGGAACGCATGATGCCACCCATTGTATGCCAGTTCGGCTTGAGTCAGGGGTGCTTACGACATCGTTCGTGTCTCTACATACTAGAATTAGCTATAATCATTCCACTACAAAAAGACCTTCAAGATACGAGATCCTAGGGAGTAAATACCCTCAGGTGTTCAGCCTTGGAGAAGCCCTTCTCACAAACACGACATACCAAGGCCTTGGTCGTGGGTGTAGTGGCAGTGGGCGAGGATGTGGATGTGGATGTGGTTTGTGGCATAATGGCCGGGCGGGGGGATGAGGGGGATTGTGGAAGAAATTGCTTGGTAGCAGCCCAGGCAGCGCAGAGTAACTAAGATATGCTGTATCACATCTGCACCCACAATTGAGTAGGCAGCAACAATCAACTAAGGTAGTCGAAGGAGCTAGCCCTTGCACAACAATAGTATGACGACGAGAGACTAGAGAGACCTTGGAGCAGGGATAGAGATGATCGATCGTGGAGAGAAAGAATATAGCATCCAGATGCAGGTTTATTTTTGTGGTTTGGGTTGGGGGGCGCGGAGTGGAAAAAGTGTGGGGCAGACGGTGAGGGAGCGAAGAAAGTGGCAAACAAGCAAACTGACCTTTCCCAACTGAGCAAGGCACGTGGAGAGGTATAGTATGTGCAGTACCGGTCTGATACCGTACGGTATTGCGGCCATTCTACCAGACCTCGGGATCTCTGCTTCAAGAGCAATCCCGTCCTCACTTACCGATGGAAACGAACAGTACAAACTAGTAATCGGCTAACTCCAGACTCCAGATTGGCTTCTCCATACTTTCCACTCTTCGCTTCTCCATCTCTTCCCCAAGTTGCGATAAGTCCATCCTCATGACTCTTCGTCATTACTAATTCAATTACGGAACACTAGCTGGTCAGTTAGACTGCCCTGGACGAGATTGATGCGAAATCAAAAAAAAAAGGTCGAGACTGCATGACCCCCTTACATCCATGCTAGCAGCCGCTGCATAGGTGCGTGGAGTTCTCTTCCGGCCAAACTCGCAGGTACCACACCCCACAATTTCTCTTTCCCTCCAGAAATACTCACACCTACCGGGGCCAATTTGATCGACTTGTTGTCTGCCACCACTGCCATGATCATCACCACCATCATCGTAGTGCAGACCCCGATCCTGCCTCTGGTTCGAAGCTGAATGGATCAGAAATGCGGAGTATTTTATTCTTGGTGGAAACCAAAGGCGTCCCGAAGAAGGATTAGCCGAGATCAGAAGGCTAATCAACACATTTGCCCATGACTCCTCCCACTCAGGTCGGCATTCACTCCAAAGGACTTTTCCCGTCCCGGTATGACCTAATGGGCCCCTCGCTGGAGAAAGGCCTTGTGAAGTTGGGTTTGGGGTTCTCCGGAAAACCCGGGATCGGGTCCTCGGTTATGCTTTGGACCTGATAGCACACTCAGTTGTTCGGTCCAACCAATTAACGATGCCGCACTTCGAGGGTGACAGACCGAGTCGCCCATTGCCGTTACTGCGACTCGCCACTCTGTGGATTCCCCTCCGCATATCCCCCAATACTTGCCCCAGTAGTAAGCGGGACTCGTCACTCAATTGGCTTTGCCCCGGGGAGGAGATTTGCTGATCCCAGCGATAGGTCGAAGTCCCAGACTGCGTGGACCCTCGCCCTGAATTCCTCCCCTCTGACAGGAGTACCGTGAACTGTTCGCATAATCCTGTGAAATCCTGGCACATTCCTTGTAGGCCTCAGCAAATGGCCCTTTCACTCTCTTTATCACCCGTCGCCCATCGTTCAATCTCAAGAATCCAGTGACCGATACTCTTCAACACCAAATCAACTGCCCAAACTTCTCCTTATCCTGGACATAGGGTCTCCCATTGAGATGACTGGGTCACACGAGATGCAGCCGTCTCGAACGGCTGTTGACCCTTCTACACCTGCCAAAGAGGATGTCGACTTTGTAGAAAGCACCGAGTCTGGGATCCCTTCAACGTATGCCGATATTGCAGCATCACGTCTCTCCAAAGCCCATCGTGATTATCTCCTCGAACGCCATGGCACGTTGGAGCTCGACCCTATGCCTAGCATGGATCCCGCAGATCCCTATAACTGGCCATCATGGAAGGTTAACATCCCGCCATTGACTGGCATCTGGCCATGAGTGAACCCTCGGCTGACGGGATAGTTGACGTGCAGAAAATCGCCAACCTTCTTCTAGTTGCATTCCACGCGTGCATGGGAACTTTTGCTGCTGCTGGCATCATCCCCGCCTATGAGACGTAAGTATCCCACCGGTCCGAAGACATCCGGATTACTAAATGACGTCCAGGATATCGACCGAGTACGGTGTTTCTATCAACGATGCCAGTTACATGACATCCATCCAGATTGCAGTCCTAGGCGTGGCTCCTTTGATTTGGAAACCCCTGTCGAACCGCTGGGGCCGTCGCCCAGTCTTTTTGCTATCCCTGATCTGCAGTCTCGTCTGCAATGTAGGGTGTGCTGAAAGCACGAGTTATTCGTCTCTTGCGGTCTGTCGTGCCCTGCAAGCGTTCTTCATCTCTCCAGCGTCGGGTAAGCTTGCTAGCATCGCTCCAATATAAGAGAAACCAGACAAGCTAACAGACGCGGAAGCTATCGGAAGTGCTGTAGTGATGGAGACAACATTCAAGAAAGACCGCGCCCGGTACATGGGGATCTGGACACTGTTGCTCACTCTGGGTATTCCGAGCGGTCCTTTCATCTTCGGTTTCGTTACGTATCGGATAGGTTACCAATGGATCTACTGGATTTTGGCCATTGTAAGTTTCTCAATGATCGCATGAAGCTCATGGAGACGATTGGCGGATGGCTGACACATTCCATTTCGCATCAATCAGATCAACGGAGGTCAATTTGTCTTATACCTCTTCTTTGGCCCGGAAACGCGGTATGTTGGGGGTGATTATGACGCCAGTAAGCCCGCTTGGGTGCGAGAGTACGTTCAGCTGCGACGGATTGACCCCACACCTTTGTCGCCATGGGAATTCATTAGACCGCTGGGCATGTTCACGCACCCTTGCGTTGCCATCCCAGCAGCTGCGTACGCCATGATCTTCTGTTTGAGTAACGTCATGACCACGGTTGAAGTTCCGGCCTTGCTGCAGACCAAGTTTGACCTGAACGCCGAGCAATTGGGTCTCCAGTTCCTTGGCCCCATCGTTGGCTCCCTCATCGGTGAACAGCTGGGCGGTGTCTTGTCCGACCGTTGGATGAGACTGCGCGAAAAGAAAATCCAACGCAAGCCTCAGCCCGAGCATCGCCTGTGGCTCAGTTATATCGGCTTCCTCTGCTCAATCGTGGGTCTCGTTGTATTCCTGGTTTGCACCGAGCAGTCCAAGGAGGGACACTGGAACATCCGGCCTATCATTGGCATTGCCATCTGTGCCGCTGGCAACCAGATCGTAACCACCGTTCTCATCACATATGCCGTAGACTGTTATCACACCGAGGCGGCCAGCATCGGAGTTTTCATCACGTTCGTCCGTCAAATCTGGGGGTTCTTGGGTCCGTTTTGGTAGGTCGCAACCATGGTCATTCTTCTGTTGCTGCGCACACATGTACTAACCGAGGCTGTCCAGGTTCCCATCCATGTTCGAACACGTGGGAGTTGCCGCCAGTGCTGGAGTATGCGCCGCTCTCATCATGGGTGTCAGTTTCATTCCGATCGCTCTCGTTCACTGGCAAGGACGATCCTGGCGTCCGGCCACGGGCGAGTAAATCGTCTCGATCATTCTTTGGCTATACCGGACACGACTCTCAACGGCATGACTTGCGGAATATTGAATATTGAAACGCTAGAAGCTTAGAAGGTTAGATATAGATTGGATCTCGAAGGCCAATCCTCGCGAACTGCAGGGTTGGGCGAGAATTTGTAAATAGAGCATAGATAGGCAACGAACAAGGAATGGAATCACCATAGAGCATCACGAAGAGAATGGAAGTCAAAGTCATTCTCCTTCATAGAGTGAATGAAAAAGAAAATATCGAACTTTGATGTTATTCCCATAGAATCAACGATATACACGTGCTAGGCGGATAAAAGAAATAAAATCCCAAGGGGAGGGAAAGAAGAAAAACGGAGGAGGGGAGAAAAGACTTTATCCCGGAGCCTTATAGGAAAAGATCGGGGGACCTTAAGCCAGCATTAGATAGATAGTACCATCCAGTTTTATCTGTCGTAGACTACAAAGGATAAAATTTAATTGACTTCTCCCGGAGTACTCCAGGCGTGGGTTTTTTTCCTGCCGACCCTCAACCGGCATCAAACCACCTAACATCGGCAAAGCGAAAGGAAGGGCCATGGCAGTGGCAGTCAGGCCACGCTTACATGGTTTTTAGCGCCGGACCGGCTGCCCGATCAAACAACTTCTCGGGATGTTGTTGGCGGGCTCGGGAAGAACTACCGGCAATGGGGAATGCTTCTCATTTGACTGTGTTCCCTTTCACTTACTATGAAGGGTCAACTTGAATCATATGATGTGGAATTCATGAGGTGGTTTGATACTATGAGCATGGATCTGGATATTGCAAAGCAGGCGAGAAGAGTTGCTGATGTTGATCGCCTGAGGTTTGGTTGGTTGGTTCCGTTATCCCTCCGCCCTCCGCAGGCTCAAGCTCAAGCTCTTTTGCCCACCTACTGGTTTGCGGATGGGTATGAGATTTTCCGCCGGAAGTTTCCTCAACCCTCCAGCAGTGCCTGTCATTTCCTAAAACATGCGCATAGCCTCTTGGGATTTCTGAACTTGTGCCTCAAGACTGAATCTGAAAATGAGAGGGGATATAAAGTATATGACTGGTGGTCGAATTGTACGGTACTATTGTGATCAAGCTTCGTAAGGGGGTCATTCAAGCATTATGCGGCTGCCTGTTGTGGTTTCTCGAAGGATGTCGAACTATTGAGGTGTTGCAGTCTTTCCAGCTTCGGTGCTTGGACCTCTGTGGAGAGGAGGGTGAGTCAGCGTGGGGTGTGGGATGGTGGGGTGATGGGGATGATCGGGGTGGTCGGGGAAGTTTTGGGAATGGTGCCGACTGGCGGGCATGCATCACACATCCAGCTGAGGCCAGTAACTTAGGGTCGATCAGTATTGCGTATGTTTATAGTGCATAGAGGTCATGATTCGAAAACTGGAGGGACACATAGGTCTCGCCTTTCACAGCGAAGTAGGCTGAGTTAAGTCAAAATGGGTCGTAGAGTACGCAGGGTCAGACGGGAGCTCACCAAGCCAGCAGTCGGGTCGATTGTATATATTAACATTCACCTCGTGTACATCACCGCAGTTTTGAACGTTACTGGCTACCAAACAATGTAAAGACATACAATTCAGATTCAATTCGCTGGCCGGAAACGCCTGTGCTATTCACCATGTCCAGGAAGACCTGAGCAAGCGCAGTCCCAAGGACATGCGCATGTACTGTGCAGACATCCGTTGCTTTCATACTGTGCATCGACCAGGCATCAACTAGGATCAAATAGGGGCTAACTAGGTCCGGTTCAACCGGAACCTAGGAATAATGACAGAAGTTATGAGAATGAGTTTGGCTTCTGAGAGTCTCACCAAAACACAAAACGAATGAGAAAGGAAATTAAATGTAACCCGAGAGGTATCCAGCGAAAATCAAAAAGTCTGGTGGGGGCTGCGTTTGTCACATTCATAATAAGCCGAAACGCTGAGAGCTGTCGTCGAGCTATAATGGTAAGGTACCTGCGACTGTCTGGTCTGGTCCCTTCCAACTTTAGTCGACGATAATAGCCTCCTCAGTCTGCCGCCGGCGTTTCTTCTTGGCTTTCTTGAGCACTTTCTTGCTCTCAGAATTCGGTGTTGAGTCCAGCCCAACCTGGGATGAGAAGGAATACGGCGAGCTAGCGCGTGACTGACTTCCTCTTTCACCGTCAGAAACCGCAGATACACGAGGTCGCTTCCTGTCCCGCACTGAGCCTAGTAAGCTGCCCGAGCCCTGCACCGAATTTGTTACGGCAGGATGTAGTGGCTGAGACGATGTTTCCGAACCTTCGCGGATAGGCAGGAATCGATTCGCAGACTCTTCCAATTTTTTGACCTTCGCGGCCAAATCTTCCCATTTGGTCGACGTAGCTTGTTGGAGCTGCCGGATTTCGTATTGATGAGTCTGGATCTCAGCAGGATAAGACTTCAACCTTTTGATATCGGCCCTCATGGTCTCATGGACTTTGGTGACTTGTGCGCTTAAACTCGCCAATTCCTCGGTGAGAACCTGGCTCTGACTTCTCAGAGAATCTCGCTCTTCTTCCATTTTTTGGACCAATGATTCGACCTCCGTTTTCCTTGATTCTACATAACTGCTGATGGCAGATGCGAGCTCCTTGACTTCATCTTGCACCGCTCGCAGACGGCCTGACGGAACATTCGTGTTCGAGATTTCTCCGGTGGATGGACTTCGCAAAGGCGCCAGCGACTGCGACAAAGCCTCGTGTTGCTTGACCAAGGTCTCGACTTGCTGAGCTAGGTGATTCTGTTTTTGGAGGGTACTGTTTGACCGAGAACCCAGGTCTTTTTCCAAATTCTCTATCTTCGCATCAAGTTGAGGTAACCGTTGCTCGAATTGCTTTGTTAGCAGCTTCATCCTGTCTATCATCTGTGCTGCACCGGGGTACATTTCTTGCATAGCTTGTGCCATACTCCTAACTAGCGGCCCGGTTGACAGATTGTTGTAGCGCATCTCAAGTGAATGTAGACCTATTTTAACACTCTCAAAGTTCTGCTCTGCGGTATGCAGTGCTGTCTCGAGTGCTGTGATTCGTCCATTCGAATTTGATTTGTCTTTGTTGAAGAAAATCTTGAGTTCGTCACAGAGTTGGCTGTTCTCACTTTTGATTTTGGAAATATCCACCTTGCTTTGTTCCAGGTGGGTTTTTAGGTGGTTTTTGAGCTCTTCCATTTCAGACATCGCAAGATCATCTTTCATTGCCTGTAGTTCCTGAAGCTTGTCCATCCGCTCGGTAAGGCTATGATATTTAGTATCTTTGATCTGTTGCAGCTGGGTTTTTTCGCTGAGTACCGAGCCCTGTGCAAGCCTGTTTTCCATGGAATCCAAATGAGAATGATAGCGTGTCATTTGGTCCGCCAGAAAGCGGGCAAACTTGTCGTCATAGTCACGACGCAGATTATCCAGCAAGTCCCGATACTCCTCTATGTCTTGTTTGTTCTTGGTCTCAAGAGACTCCAGTCTACCGCCCACATCAGAGATTGAGGATAGTAATTTATCGATCTGATCTTTCGGAGGCAAGGACTCTGATCGTTTGTTCAAAGCTGAGCGGAGGTGCACAATGCGCTCAATCGTTTCCGTATTATGCTTTGCATGCCTTTGTAATGTGCTTGCATAATCCGAAGAAGCTTTCTCTGTCCGGGTCACGCGGTCTTGGAGCTCTTTTAATTTGTGCTCGAGAGTCACATTATAGTCTCGCAGCTTGGTGATCTCAGCCCTGGCGCTGCCCAAATCGCTTCTTGCTGTCTGAACTTCGCGCTGCAAGTGGTTAGTCTGTTCGGATCTACTCGTATCGAAGATGGACGAGCCGAGTGTGAGCCGCAAAGCATTTTCGCGCTGTTGGTAAGTAGCATTATGCCTCTTGAGGGCCTCCTCAACACGTGTGAGCTCCGTGTCCTCATCTGCTTGAGATTTTTGGAAGAAAGCCGCAGTCGATGGAAAATTGTTGAAGCTTTTGGCTTTTGTGCATAATGTCGCGGTAGCCTCCTTTCTTTTCTGTAATCGGTCTCTCTCCGACTTGCTATTGGCAGCGAGGATTGCGGCTTGGACCAGGTCGGAGACACCGCGTATTAGGTGGTCGGGATTGGAAGTATTCGGTTCAGTAACTGAGTGGGTGCTTAAGTGCTGTGCACTGAGTCGCGAGTGAGTCTCGGACAATGTGCGGGTAGCAGTTGGTCTGAAAGAGCGAACCAGGCGGGGGTCGCGTGAGGGTGAGGTCTCTGGTTCCATGGCAACTTGTCAAGTTTTTGGGGAAAAACTGTCGAGTGATCTTGGTAAATCGATGACCTTTCTACTCAACTGAACCCATGTTGCGGGAGATAATATGGAAAGAGCGATCATTGAGGGTAAACATCACAGTTGGGAGGTTACAGGGAAGTTGGTACAAGACAAAACCAGAAAAGGTAACTTGCTTACGTTCATGGATCCTGGTGCCCTGTATACCAGTTGTCATGGATGCGATAAACAGAACAACAAAGCGGGGCAACAAGCAGCGGGATCGACGCGTGAAGCAGCCGAGACTGACCCAGTGAACAGTTGGATCGTTGGCCCATCATTCACTTGGTCTATAGTGCCATCTCTTGTCGGCCGCCACAAATCTCAGAGGCACGGTCCCGGCGCGAACGACAGTTTTCTGCCGGGCGGTGTACCGGGCGGTATTCTGTGGGCTTGGCCGATTCTGCCCTGCGCAGCTCTTCCATTCAATCTGCATTTCCGCGACGCCTGCAGACCAGTTTTGGGCTGGCACATCGAATTCACTTGCTACTTGTCACTTGTCCACAGGAAAATTTTTTCGTGTTTGCAAGTAGTTGCGATGGCTGCCGTGAGTTGACCTCAAACACCTTCTCTAATCCTAGTTAACTCCCTCCCATTGCTGACTGCCGACAGCCAATTTCTACCGTTGCGGAGACCAAGGAGCTCCGGGGTTTGAACCTCATTGCTGCTCATTCGCATATTCGTGGCCTCGGTGTTGATATCGACTCTTTGCAGCCCAGAGCTTCCTCCCAGGGTCTTGTGGGTCAGGAAAAGGCCCGGAAGGCTGCCGCTGTCATTCTGCAGATGGTGAAGGAAGGCAAAATCGCTGGTCGAGCTGTGTTGATCGCAGGGCCTCCCAGCACGGGTAAAACAGCCATCGCCATGGGTATGGCTCAGTCTCTTGGACCCGATGTTCCTTTCACCATGCTCGCTTCTTCCGAAATCTTCTCGATGGAGATGTCCAAGACGGAGGCTCTCACCCAAGCTTTCCGGAAGTCTATTGGGGTTCGCATCAAGGAGGAAAGCGAAATAATTGAGGGCGAAGTTGTGGAGATTCAGATCGATAGAAGTGTGACCGGTGTAAGTAGATCTCTCACAAACCGTGATTCAAGACTTCATCCAGCACTCACTTCGATCTCATCTGATCCAATGCTTGGCGCAACATGTCGATGCTGACTTGTCCAGGGAAACAAACAAGGAAAGCTCACAATCAAGACAACGGATATGGAGACAATCTATGACATGGGAACGAAGATGATCGACTCGATGACCAAGGAGAGAGTGATGGCAGGAGACATCATTTCTATCGACAAGTCGTCCGGCAAAATCACCAAGTTAGGACGTTCTTACGCACGCTCCCGGGATTATGATGCCATGGGCGCCGACACCAAATTCGTGCAATGTCCTGAGGGTGAGCTTCAGGTTCGCAAGGAGATCGTACACACTGTTAGCCTGCACGAAATCGATGTCATCAATTCGCGGTCACAGGGCTTCTTGGCCCTCTTCTCCGGTGACACGGGCGAGATCCGGAGTGAGGTCAGGGATCAGATCAACACCAAGGTGGCTGAGTGGAAGGAAGAAGGCAAGGCCGAGATTATTCCCGGTGTTCTGTTCATTGATGAGGTGCATATGCTGGATATCGAATGTTTCTCATACATCAACCGTGCTCTGGAGGCGGAACTGGCACCCATCGTTATTATGGCCAGCAACCGTGGCCACTCCCGGATTCGCGGCACTACCTACAGCTCTCCGCACGGATTGCCTTTGGACTTCCTTGACCGGGTGGTCATTGTCAGCACACAGCCTTACTCTGCGGACGAGATCAGACAGATCTTGGCCATTCGGGCTCAGGAAGAGGAGATCGACCTCTCACCCGATGCCTTGGCACTTTTGACGAAAATCGGTCAAGAATCGAATCTGCGATACGCCAGCAACATCATCACAACATCTCATTTGCTCAGCCAGAAGCGCAAGGCGAAGGAAGTCAGCATTGATGATGTCCAGCGCAGCTATCGCCTATTCTACGACCCTGCTCGGAGCGTCAAGTTTGTCAACGCGTATGAGCAGCGGTTCATTGGCGATCAAGGTGCAGTGAGCTTCACTGCCCCCACAAATGGCGATGCCATGGAGCTGTCATAGAGTTGATTTCCTAAGGACGTTCTTGGAGTTATGCAAAGACGGTCATGCACGGATCTGTTTTCAATGATCAGATGTCGCAGATGGAATGGTGTAGTCAGGGAGTAATCCAGCCACCCCCTCGTCTACTTGACTTGATCTGTTTGTTGTTTTCACATCAATTGCTTGATGTATGATATTGCCGGCGCTTTTTGAGAAGTCAATGTATGGGCACTTTGATTTTAGGGTCAGATTTTAGTCAAAAGTGAGCCTAGCCTAGGCTCGGATGATAATGATGAGATTAATATTCCCAAGAACCCGGGTATCCGACGATGCTAATTTACATATACAATATTCGCCTCATGACATAGACTGGTTACGCCAGTCTCAAACAAAGGTAGCCGTACTGTTCCACTGACTGCCGTCATTCGTTTGGCGAAACTCAACTCCTTCCCCAAAATATCCTGCATTTCTCCAAGACTCCATCGTAGGAGCATCGTATGGGCCATGTATGACTCCACCGTCACGAGCATCGGACCACCGAAACTCCCACATCGCAGGGGATTCTTCCACAGAGTTGGAGGAGTCTGCAGACGGATGATCAACCCAGTCCTCGCCGGTCTCGCGGCGGTACTGCCTTGTAAGAATCTCACGTTCAGTGTCATAGATTTCTGCCTGCCCTCTGGTCATGAGGATGTCGGCAGCACCGGTGATCTCTTCAATAGCCTGCTTTCTGGCCACTTCCTTTGGATCGTCCTCTGTCATCTCCGCATCCTCAGGTGCAGCGTCACTCTGCTTCTTGCGGCTTTTATTGCGACTGGTCTGCCATTTTTGCTTCTTTTGAGCGCCCTTGCCTATTCTCGCCAGAGCTTCTAAGATCGTCTCGCCTCGTTCCAGATGGGTGATTAGAGTTCTCAAGACATCCGCGGTGAGTACACTATCGTCTTTCCGCTCTTTTTCCTTGCGCTCCTCCTCCCGCTTCTCTGCAGCTTCCCTGGCGCGTCGGATGTCCTTCTTAGAGACCCCCTGCAGCCACGTGTCGTAGACCGCGTCGGGATCTGCTGCCTTTCGGACATAGTTTCCTTGGTCATCGAAGCGACCTTCTTCTTGTTCGGTGCGCATATTGAAAGCGTCTAGGAGTGGTGCATGCTTCTTCTTCGCACCCGCACCCAGTTCTTCATCCAGCTCCTCGTCGGGTCTAGCGCGCTCTTCATCCCCGACCTCGCTTTCGCTTTCGTCCTCCTCGTCCTCGATTGTGTCCGCCCCCTTAGTAAAATCTGCGTGCACCGTCCCGCCACTCTTGGACGAGGCAACCTGTCCTTCTATCTCGTCGTCCCGCAGGAACCGGACGTTCTTCTTGTTTTTGCGCATTGCTTCATCGCCATCGATCTCCTCGGGCCCAAAATCCTCCTGCAATTCAGCAAACATGTCATCGTCCTCAGCGTCGTGCTTCTCTCGGCCTGCTTTTGACTTGGCCTCAATGCGCGCTGAGAAGCCCTCGTTTTCACTGTCGGAGTCGTAACCGTCCAAGTTGACGGCTTTGCGGCGGACTTGTTGGCCTCGGCGTCCGATTTCGTCGGCATCTAGAACTGCGTCTTCTTCTAGTGCATCAGGAGCAAGAGCAGAGGGGTTTCGCAGATCAAAACGAGGCTTCTTGGTCGATGAGCCGTCCTCGTCCTCGTGGTGTGTACGGGTGAAGTCTTCACCTGCCCGCTTGGGGCGGGGCTGAGAGGCTGACATGGAAAAGCGTGGGAGGGAATCACGGATCGCAGTAAACTGTCAACTCTAGATTTGATTGCAAATGAGCCAGAAGGTCGGGACAAACAGAGGAAAGAATCAAGACATTTTGAAGCTGCAATGCGTTGTCTGGGGTCGGGACGGAAAATCAAAGCGGAGCCGCGCCATTTGCGTCACCGCAGGCGATCCGATTGATCGGCCGAACGTACCTGAACTCCCGTCACTCTCTACAACTGCTCGAGCTCTGTTTGCTACACCTCAGTACTTCTTGACATCTCTTCCCTGACTCGTCACTCGTCACCTTCGGCCATACCATACATCACAAGGCGCTACTGAGTCTTGGGAACAAGACTCATATCTCTTCCAGCTTCTAATCATCTCCTTGGCTAGCTCCCGTTGGTCATGGTGGGTTCCCCGCTTTCACGCCGTCAAGTCACTCAGATATCCCATACTAAACGGAAGCAGTTTCAGTCCGGTTACTGGGAGGACGATCCGATGGAGGGGGTGCTTGGCTCCAGTATGCTTCGTCGTGGAGGAGCAGCCCGTCGTTTCGATGAATATTACCGATGCTACCCTGTTGCGATGATGCCCGGTCCAGAGAGAGAAAATGTCAACCACGGCGGCAAGGTCATCATGCCGCCTAGCGCTTTGGACAAGCTGACGCGTCTGCATATCACATACCCCATGTTGTTTGAGCTTCACAATGGTGCCAGGGAAAGAATGACCCATGCGGGTGTCTTGGAATTCATTGCGGAGGAGGGGAAGATATACCTGCCATTCTGGGTAGGTCCCCGCCACAACCTATATATGGTCACGGAGCTGATAATTGGTGCTATAGTTGATGCAAACACTTGTTCTGGAGCCTGGAGATCTAGTTCAGATCAAATCCACCGACCTATCACCGGGCCAGTTCATCAAGCTACAGGCTCAGTCAACCAGTTTCCTCGACATCAGTGACCCCAAGGCCGTGTTGGAGAATGCCTTCCGAAACTTCTCTTGCCTGACCAAGGGTGACGTCTTCACATTCGCCTATAACGACCAGGTCTACGAGATGGCTGTCTTAGAAGTCAAGCCTTCTGGCCAGAGCAACGCTATTTCAGTTCTCGAGACCGACCTTGAAGTCGACTTTGCGCCTCCGGTGGGCTACGAGGAGCCGCAACGTCCCAGTGGAACCAGTACGCCTCGCAGCGGAGTGAGCGGCAAGTTGCCGTCCGGTGGCTTGCTACATCCCCATGGCACCATGGCACAGTCAATCAATTATGCTGCCATCGCACCCGAGTCAACCGACGCCGCTGCCGGAGCAAGGGCTGTGTCGTCAAACTTCCTTGTCGGTGGACAGCGTTTGAACGCTAAGAAAGGTAGTAAAACCCCCACACCCAAACCATCCACTCCCACACCTGGTGCTACCAACCCTCAGCATCCTCCTCCGGTCAGGAGAACCAACGGGCCGCAGCCTCTTCGACTGCCCCCGAATCAGCTTTTCTTTGGATACACAATCAAGCCTGTGAAGAAGCGCGATGAGACTGGGCAGGTTGTTGAAGGAGACAAGCCCCGATTCCAAGGATCCGGGCAAACTTTGAGAGGAAAGAAGAAGGACGCCAGTGGCTTTGCTACGCCTACATAGTCGAGAACAGCGAGCAATTCGAAACGCTGCAACGCAGGTCCGGCAATGTCTTCCGGGCGCATTGAGACACAAGCCCTTGTACAAGCCCTAGGTTCGGTACTTTCCTGGGATTGAATGACAAACTCATGAGTGATAGACTGAGACACGGGACAAAAGCAGGACGATATTAAAGCATAGCGAGGACTGGCGTTTGATAGGTTTAGCTTTAGTACCAATTCTGATCGGGAGGTTTTTCTCGTGTTATTCATTGTGCCCAGGTGCAAAGCATGCAGCCCTTACAATGATGTTCCCGGGGGGTCATGCTGACCAGTGAGTAATCATAAAATCCGCATTGCCGCCATGTCAAAGACTCTCCACTCTTGAGGTGGTGCTCGAGTCTAGTGCTTAGGAGCTGAAAACCAACGAGGCATAAATACTACCTTAAGTGACGGTAAGCCGGGGGGCTGATCGTATAATCTAGGATTCCAGAGTCTGGCTAGCGCAACTCCGTATTCTTCCAATTATACCAAAGAAACCTCCCGAGTGTTGTTCTTTTTCTCCCCGAGTTTTCGCCTCGGTTCTTCTACACAATCTACCGAGTACTCCGTTCTACACAAAAACAATCGAACCTCCCTCCCTCCTCTCTTACCCTCCAAACCTCGCGATTCAATTCCAGAAAGACACCACTACAGCAAAACAATGACCACCACCACCACCGCATCCACCCCTCCCCCCAACCCCCTCAAAGCCTTCACTCAACTCTCCCCCTCCGTCTACATTCACCGTCCAGCCAATGCTCCCCAACACTCAGAGCAGATCATAATCCTCGCCTTCTGGATGAACGCCCACCCGCGCACCCTCTCCAAATACCTAACCACCTACCTCGACCTCTACCCCAGCGCCACGATCATGTACACGCTCTCCACCTCTCTGGATTTTTTGATTAATTTCACCGCCCGCACGCAGCACGCGCGCCTGCAACCCGCCGTCGCCGCTCTCCGGGCCGCCGCCGCCGCCGCCGACACAACAACCAGCCGGGACGACCCAAGCCCCGGGCCGGGCTCCTCCCACCCCCGCGTCTACATCCACATGTTCTCCAACGGCGGCACCTTCGCCGTCGCCAACCTGCTCGAGGCCTACCGAGCTGCCACGGGCCGCCCGCTGGCCGTCGAGGCCATGCTCTACGACAGCGCGCCGGGCACCTCGACCTTCCGCGGCGGCATGCGCGCGCTGGCCGTCGGGTTGCCGGCGAACCCGGTGCTGCGGTTGCTGGGGATGCTGGTGCTTGCGGGGATTATGGGGTGGTCGATGCTGTTGACAACCGTCATGCCGCGTGCGGATGGGGTGATGGTTGGGCGGCGGGGGACGGTGGATGCGGGGTTGGTGGTGCGGGGGGGTTCCCGCACAGAGGGGGCGGAGGCTGCGCCGAGGAGATGTTATTTGTACTCCGAGGGGGATCGGGTGGTCGATGCAAGGGATGTGGAGAGTCATGCTGAGGAGGTTGCGAGGCGGGGGTGGGAGGTCGAGAGGGTCAGGTTTGACGGGTCGGCGCATGTGTCGCATGTGAGGACCGATCCGGAACGGTACTGGGGTGTCGTGAGGAGGTATTTTGGCGGGGTTTAGACTGACAGTACCTTTCGAAAGCGTGGGAGTGAAATACCGGTATATATATGTGTTTGTATGATACTCCTTTTAGTCAAAACTGTTCTGTTCAAATTCGACCGCATCGCCGAGCGCTATGCATGCAAACGTTATGTACAAACGAACCCCCTTTCCCAAGCAGGAGCCTCCCAATGATGCTCTAAACGCCTCCTTTTTTGTCTCTCAAATGACCTGAACTTTTTCCCTTCCGTTTGGTTTCCTTTTTATATCTCGCCAAAATGGAAGACTGACAGAAGTGCTTTTGATGTTGACGATGTATTGAACCGTCTTCGTCTACCGACCCTTCATCTCGGGAAACTCATCTTCCAACTTCAATCGCGCGGTGACATTCATACTCATCAGCTCCTGGATGAGAAGCTTCGCGGCGTACGGAATTACCATCTTCACCACACTCCGAGAGGACTTGCACCGTTGACACCAGTTCAGATAACCCATGAAACCACACTGCTCGCACACATCGATCTCGTGTCGATCGGACGAGATCATCAGTCGCTCCAGCAGCAGCTGACTGGTACCGTACGCAATCAGACAATCACGCTCCATCTCACCTAGACGGAGACCACCGTCACGGGAACGACCCTCCGTGGGCTGGCGGGTGAGAATGGCGCGCGGTCCGCGAGCACGCGAGTGCATCTTGTCCTGCACCATGTGCTTGAGTTTCTGGTAGTAGATGGGACCGGTGAAGACATAGAATGGCAGAGCCTCGCCGGTGATACCGGAGGTAAGATAGTCTTTACCACCATAGCTGAAGCCGTGGTCGATCAGGATCTGAGACGCCTCTTGCACCGGAGTGCCGCCGAAGCAAGTGCCGTAGCCATGGTGACCGGCCAAGACACCGGCTTTGCCTGCAACAAGCTCCAACATCTTTCCGACTGTCATGCGAGAGGGGAAACCGTGAGGGTTCATGATGATATCCGGGTTAATTCCTTGGTCGGTAAAGGGCATGTCGGCTTGGTCGGCGATAATACCCACGACACCCTTCTGTCCGTGACGGGAGGAGAACTTGTCACCGACTTCGGGACGACGTGTTTGTCGAGTTAAGACCTTGACCAGCTGGTTCTCGTTTTCGGTCACAGAGATCATGACCTTGTCGATGTAAGCAGGATCGGGGAGCTTGTAGGTCATGGGAGTTGGCATATAAGAAACGGGCCGGCCAGGGTCAGAGCTGGCGAACCCAGAGGACATCGACTGGTCGGGTGTGGACTTGTTGATGTAGACTTCACCGGCGTTGACCTGCTCACCCACAGCAGCCAGACCATCGCTCTCGAGCAGGGCATGTTTCCTGATCGGCGCATCGTTCTCGTACTGCGGTCCACTCAAGCGGTCCTTGGTGCCGTTCGAGTAACTCTTCAAGTTGGTGACGTATTTTTTGAACACCTGACATCTTCCGAATCCACGATCCACAGATCCCTTGTTCAACACGAGGGCATCCTCAATATCGTATCCTGAGTAACTCATGACCGCAACAGTTGCATTCTGTCCAGCGGGTAGTTGGTCGTACTTGACCAGCTCGATCGTGCGGGACTTGACCATCGGCTTCTGCGGGTAGACCATGAGATATAAGATAGAATCAATCCGCAAGAATTGATTCGAAGCAATCGCACCGATTGCTTGTTTACCCATAGCACACTGATAAGTGTTACGGGGCGACTGGTTGTGGTGGGGATACGGGATCAGACCGGCGACAGCTCCAAGAACAGTAAACGGCTCAATCTCCAGGTGAGTCGTTGTTTCAGTGATATCTTTCTCGTAGATAGCAATTAATGAATCGTTCTCCTCGTTCACATCAAGGTATTCCACCAATCCCTGAGCAAGGAAGTCATCGAAAGCCATGGTACCATCCCGCAGCTTCTCAAGATGATGGGCCTTCACGCGAGATTTGCCGTTATCAACAATAACAAGCGGTCTGCAGATTCTTCCGTCATCAGTGGCTACGTGAACAGCCCGCTGGTGGTGGTTGATGTAAATGCTGACGAACTCGGAGATTCGACCCATCCGACGGAGTCTTCGAAAAGCATTGAGGAAGAATTTCGGTCGTCGAGTTAGCGCCATAGGAGTACCATTGATCGAGATAGTGTAGCAGCCCGGGCCATAAAGTTCCTTTCCACCGACTGTGGAAATGTCTTCAGCACCGAGCATGAAGATCAAGTTCCGGATAGGGCCCTCCTCGTCATTCGTTGTAATGTGGGTCATGAGTGCCAAGTTCTTCACGAGACCACAAGCTTCACCTTCCGGAGTATCGGCTGGACAGAGCATACCGAAGTTGGATGGTTGCAGTGCTCTGGGACCACTGACCTTTCTGGTCTTTTCGAACTGACTGCTGATACGCGTCATCATACCCAGAGCGGCAAGGTAACTCAACCGACTTAGCACGTGTGTCACACCTGCACGCTCCATGCGGAAACGTTTCAAACTCCAGTTTCCGGTGGAAATAGCGCGGTTCATTCCTTGAGTAATGTGGTTGCTGTGCATCGTAATCACGCTATAGGCATCAAAGGCCTCAGCACGATTCCGCTTGTTCAGCACTTTGTCGATGTTCATTTTGATATCGAAACAGAACTTCTTGAACAGGTCCTCGAAAAGCAGAGCCAACAGCTGGCCAGCCAGTTCCAATCGCTTGTTTCCGAGATAGTCGCGATCGTCTACCAGAGTAGCATCATTCTTGGCCATGAGAACACGACGAGCCATGTGGGCGACATAGATAGCCTTAGGTCGGAAATCCATGTTCTTGACTTCGATATGAGAGATGATAACGGAAGCGATGGCTTCCACAGCCTCTTGCACATGAGTTCGGCGATATGTGGATTGCTTGCGGTTGATTTTGATCCGTGCGCCAATCCAGTCGAGTGCCTGTTGCTGGGTATAGATACCAAGCTTGATCGCCTCTTCGAAATTGATCGCAAAATCTTCCTGGTAGACCTTATCGACACCGGCGACGAGCAAGAGCATCTCTTTGTCGGTGTGGATACCCATGGCCTTGAGCAGGATCACAATGGGGATGTCCTCGCTGAGAACGTTGTGTTTCACGTAGAGTTTGTCTTTCTTCAACACGATATAACTTTTGGATTTACGTTCGTTGGAAGAACTGCACAAAGAGATTAGTACCAGTGCCCACCAATGGAATGGGAAAAAGCGGCGGAGTGTTACCTAGTGACCGAGGCCTGGACGATCTCTTTCTTGGGATCCGTCTCGACGATGATTCTGTTCTTGCTCAACTGCTCCTGAACGAGGATGACCTTCTCTGTACCGTTGACGATAAAATAACCACCAGGGTCAAGAGGGCACTCATTCAAGACGGACATCTCCGCTGGGGTCTTGTTCGCCAACGCGCACTTCGAACTCCGAAGCATGACCGGCATTCTTCCAATGGCCACACCTTTCCTCATAACCCTTTGGCGTCCACGAACATACTCAAAGTCGACTTGAATGGGCGCCGCGTAGGTTGTGTCACGAAGACGACATTCGTGCGGGGCCACAGTGGACTCTGAGAAATCGGCCCGGACATCTTGCGGCTCGTCTGCACGTCGAGGGAATCCCAGGTAAATGTTGGTGAACTTTATGTAGAAGTTGTGGTCGACATCGCTGCGGATTGTGGAGCTGGATTCGACGATCTTCTTCAACTGGACTTCGACCAGGTAGTTGTATGAGTCAATGTGCTGCTTCACCAAACCTTTGACCTTGAGGAATGCCGGCAGCAGGTTCCATTTATCCTTGGCGGTGTTGATCGGATCCGTTAGGCCCTTGTTGTAGTAGAACGGCTCGAGAAGAGCATCGAAGGGATCTCGGTGGCGGTACGAAGTGTGAGAATGCTCCTCATCGGAAGCTTGCGGCTGTTCCTCGACGACGGGAGTTGGCTCTTCTGAAGGCGGAGCAGGCTTGGACTGAGAGGCGCGTCTGCGTTTGGAAGCATCGGTGGTTCCTAGCCTGGAAGAGGCAGCGGCCTAAGACGTCGCATGAGGTTAATGAGGGCGGCGAGAGACGGCGCGGAAATCTTTCTTTTTTAACTCCAACTTACCTCTCCAGATTGCGTGGACCGCAAGTTGGCCGCAGAAATCGGCGCTCTCCTACGAGGAGGCATTGCTGATCAAAACTTGCGGGTCTTGCTGCAGGTCGATCAAGGGTGGTGAAGAGCGGGCGTCACGGCATTCTAGATTGACGGCACAATTTCTTCTTTATCAGCGAGGGGATTATCCGAACTATTTTCCATTCGGCACGAGGGGCAGGTTACATAATCGGAAGCTATCCTCATATGGTTAGACCATAGTCCGGCTTACAAATTCTCGTGCTAACCCCAAATCAGAATGTCATTCGGCCCCGCCCGCTGTTTTACCTTATCTCCGGCTAACGCTAACGCTTTGACCCACCCCTTGAATCTTGCGGTTGTCATCAGTTGCGATTTGTGCACAGATCGAATTATTCCGGGCGACCATCGCTGATCAGGGCATAGATCAGGTGGTCCGGCGAAGAACATTCAGGAGGGACTGCGAGCCCACAGCCTTCGACTTGAATGCTTCTTCGATCTCGTCCAGCGATCTGCCTTTGGTTTCTGGCATCATGACTGCGCATACAAAGGTCGTGACAAGTGTGCATCCCGCGAATAGGAAATATGCACCAAAGCTGCTTCTCGAAAGTAGAATTGGTGTAGCAAGTGCTACTAGGAAGTTAGCCGCCCAGTTGCTCCCGTGAGCTAAGCTAGTTGCTGAGGCACGAGTCCTTTGTGGCTGTATCTCTGCTGCATAGATCTTGATGCCGACAGCCCAGCTCAAAGAGTATATCACGGCAAATATGTAGATGCTGACAATGACTACCCATCGGCCCGCTCCACTTGAGCTGTCGACTACCCTGCTTGCATATAGAGCTCCTATCAGAAGCATCGTGATGCTGAGGCCGATGCCACCATAAATGGTACTGTGTCGACGACCCCATTTGTCGGCCCATATGAGTGCAGGGATAGTGACAGCGAAGATAACAATTGCAGAGACGCCGGAAGCAAAGAAGCTTGCTGACGAGGATGCAA